TCACAGTAAATATGAAAACTGTCCTTCAGATTAGATCAGGTCCGCACAGAGCTCGTCCGTCCTCTTGTCCTCTCGTCCGCTTCCTGCCTCGTCTCTTCCTGCTTCGCCATGTTTCCACGTCACAGCGTCAGCTCGGCAGTGTTTGTGAGACTTTCTCGTCCCGAGTAGCGCCCAGCTTCCTCTCAAAGTCAGAGCTCTTTTTCTGTGTTTCCTGTTCAGAGCGACATCAGAGGAAGTTTAAAGATTAGCATCGGTCTCTGCTCGGCGTCCCACGCAGGCCTTCGCTCCTCTGCCTCGCATTTATTTGAAGTCTGTTTTTTTACCTTTTAGCTGGGAAGATAAAGGGTGGGACGTGAGGTCAGGGGTCCTCAGGGGAGCAGCGATCCTGTTTCTGTGTGTGGTGCACTGACGGTGGCATTTACAGCTCCTACAAAGACATAAAAGTCTCCGTCACACCTGACGTCCGAAGCCACTTCCTGCTTTTTTTAAACTGATGGTACTCATTGTTGGACAGAAGGAGGAGCGGCTAATGAGCCGAGCTGACCCAGAGCCACCTGTTGTCCCTGATCAGGTGGACTGTGAGGAGGCCGAAGGCTGCAGGTCCCTGTTTCATTTGCTTTAGACTCTGTACTTTTCAAAAATAAAACATATATTCTTTCTAGAAATTAATAACTGATCACTAATTACCACAAGCAACACGCTGAGAGGAGGCGGGCTGGTCACATGCTACTGAGCTGCTAATTAACAGCTTAAGTCAATCTACAGCTCGCTGCTACTGCTCGAACATCCTCGACTGTTCGTCCTGACACGTTTAGCCTCCGGAGGCTTCGACAGGATGGGGCCCAGTCCTCCTGACCCTGACAGACCGGATCATTCTCTGGTGACTCTTTCAGGATTTGAAGGGACATTTTTCTGCTTTCAGCCACTTGAAACCTTTTCAGGCCAGCAGGAAGTCTCTGTAGTGTTTAAAATGTCATGTGACATCTGTGCAGCTGACGTTCAGACACCAGGTTTGTGCTGAAGTGGCCTCACATCAGTTTACCCGCTGCCATGGTCACGAGCTGGGTCTGGACCGGTCTGTTGGGTTTATCAGTTTAAATCAGATCACAACATCCGTCACCTCCGCTTCTGCTGCTGCTGTGAGTATGTGGAGGCATTTCTGTGGCGTCAGATTAAATCAGATGAAATTCTTCGATGATTAAACACAGAAACATGGTTTCATGTCTAACCCTGTTTTTAAAAAGTCATGTAGCTGAAACCGCTGCGCCCGCGACAGAGCGCCGCGCTCCTCTGCAGAACTGAGAGCTGTGACGGCTGCGTGGAGTCGGCGCCTGAATACCAAACGCCAAATGTTTAATTCATTTGTTGAATAAAATGTGGAGCTGCGGCAGCTCTCCTCCTCCTCCTCCGCTCGCTCCACGGCAGCAGCTGAATGTGAGATGAGGCGTCGAGGCCGAAGCTTCAAACAGACTCCCGCCCGCTCGCCTTCTTCTTTACCCTCGTCTTCATGAAGCCCAGAAGGAACGACACACACAACTGCTGAAGACCTCTGACAGAGTAAAACTACTCGAATACACTGAAGTATTTATCTCTGTTAATTAAGGAAATAAAATCACAGTCATTGAAAAGTCAAAATTAAGGAAAAAATAAATTTTCATAAAAATCTAAACAAAGTTTCAAAAAATTAAAGAAAAAAATTAGTAAAAAAAAGTTTACTGTAAGTGAAAATCAGTAACAATTAATTATTAACACTGAGATAAAAGTGAACACGAAAGTTTCACATCTGAGAAAAAATGTAAAAAAAATGTCAAAGAATATTTTAAAATTTATTAGAAAAAAAATTATTGAGAAAAAGTTAAAAAGAAATTGAGAAAAAGCCCAAAATTGGTGAAAAAGGTAAAAATGTTAAATAATGAAGCTTCTTCTTGTGTGAAAGTGTTTACATGGCACCAAATCACAGCAGCAGTTTCCACAGTACAAGCACCAGGCGACAGTGGGAAGGAAAAACTCCCTTGTAACTACGGCGTCTCCGAGCTGCACGCAAGCCAGCTCCCTGTATTTCTGGCCGAGTCGCCACACTCTGGATTTTAACGCTTCCTGGAATCCAGATATTCTCGTGATAACATAACCTTCACAGCTTTGCTCGTAAACAGGCAGTCAAACAAGTTCTTTAAGCCTGAGGTTAAACTCCGCCCACACATGAACACGTGGAAGCAGCCGTGATGAATACAGCAGCGTTATTACACAGGACGCATGTTCAGGGCTTCATCCTTCACGTGTCGTTCCTCGTTGTGTCTGTAGTTCTGTGTTTGGCTCCATCCGTCGTCCTCTGGGATCTTCTGTCTGCAGGACTGAAGTGTTCCAGCGTGAAACTGAAAGCTCACTCACGCTGCTCTTCAGCTTCATGTTTGATTTAATAGTTTGGAATAAAAATATGGAGCACAAATAAAACTGAGCTCAGGAATCTTCCTTGAAGTGCACACCTGTGCGCTCGATGTCCGCTCTCTGTCTTCTTCTTTTGTGCTGGTTCTTGAGCAGCTGTTTCTGTATGAAAGATGGGCGTAACCTCTGTGATGTCATACACTCGAGACTGGATCGAGTGTATGACATCACTCTCATCGCCTTTTTGATTCTTGAAGCCGGACGGGCCAAGCAGTGGATACACCTGTAAGCCCACAGGATTCCTATTGGCTGGTGATTTCTCAGCCACTAACCAATGAGCATGCAACGCTCCGTTCTGCGGGAGACGATGACAAAATGTTTCATTCAGCATGTCTATCCTAACCCAACCAATCACAGCAGATGGCCCCGCCCCTCCCTGAGCCTGGTTCAGTCGGAGGTTTCTTCCTGTTAAAAGGGAGTTTTTCCTTCCCACTGTCGCCAAAGTGCTGCTCATTGGGGGTCATATGATTGTTGGGTTTTTCTCTGTGTGTATTATTGTAGGGTCGACCTTACAGTATAAATAGGGGTGGGTTTTTATAATTGATTTATCGATTAAAATCGATTCTGGCTTGGATAACGTAAAATCGATTCATTAAAATCCTGAATCGATTTTTTTAATATAAATTTATTTTGCCCGAAATGCCAGAATCTCTGGTGAAACCTCACAAAATTTCAAGAACCACCAAACAGCTAAGACAGTAAATGAGAGCAGGAACACGGCTTCTGCACAAAGACTTAAACACACAGTGCGACCCGCGGATCAGAATCAGTGAGATGTCGCCTTTCTCACAGTCGGGGCTGAAAGCCGACAGCTCGCTGATTCTGATCTGTCAGCGGGTCGGCGCTTTGTGTTCACGCCCTTTATGCGCTGATTCTAAAGCTGTTAGTTTGATCTCTCTCCAAACAATATTGACCGAACCAGCAGCAAAAGAAGATCCAAACTACGCTTCACATAAACATCGTCATGAATTCACTCTGACTTTCACTGTTTTGCTTCCACCAGGATGCACAGCTCTCTCTCCCCCCCCCCTCTCTCTCTCTCCCTCCCTCTCTCTCTCTCTCCCTCCCTCCCTCTCTCTCCCTCCCTCTCTCTCTCTCTCCCCCTCTCTGTACTTCAAGAACAGTTTCCCTTTCTTCATTATTCGCTTGCTTGTTACGCACCAGTCTACTGTTGTTTACAGGCTGTCGGCCGCTGTTTTTTTCCCTTTTACATTCTTCCAAAGAGAAAACCTCATTTCTGCTGTTCAATACTTAACAAATTTAAACTTTTTAAAATTATGCAAAATGCAAAACGCTGTGTCTCTAATAAAACCGCTGTAACTTCAGAGGTAATTTTCATATGTTGATTAATGGTTTTCTTTTGTTTTTGATGTACTGCAGAATATTTTTATAAAATCCCAGAACAGGAAAACCTTCATGTGTTTCTGTTTTATCTTCAGCTACTTTGACACAAAGGCATCTGCTGTGATGCTCACACCTGTGATAAAGTCTTGTGTCAGCTTCCTTTTTATTGATACAAAAATATGTAAATGTACTGATCTGAATTATAATATTTCTGACTGTCAAAATTTCCCAGATTTTAATCGAATCGAATTGAATTAAATCGAATCGATTCAGGACTTTGTGAATCGGAATTGAATCGATTCTAGAAATCAGTGACGACACCCAGCCCTAAATATAAAGCACCTTGAGGCGACTGTTATTGTGATTTGGTGCTGTATGAATACAATTTTATTGAATTGAATTGCGTACGACCTGAAACCACCTGCGCCTACAAACAGGAAGTCTCCCAAAGACTTCTATAGGACCAGAAAGCTTTGTCAACGGCAGGTATCGCCCCCTGGTGGCTGTCAAAGAAAATGCAGGTGTGAGGTCCCTGAATGTGACTATAACTAACATCAGACTCAGACAAACTACTGAAGGGAAAGTAAATATGTTTTCATTGTTTAATGTGAAATTATTGCCAGTGTGGTGAACGTGTCACATTTTATCTTACAAAGCTGCTAAAGCTGATTATTGATGACTGCTGGTGGTCACAGTGACGAGGTCATCCGTGATTTATTTACCTCTGAGATCACATCAGTACTGAACACCTGCGTCTCGTCTCAGCTGATGAAATGCTGCTAATGAGCGACTGTCATTTGTTTCATGGTTCGCTGCTCGGTCGCTCGGGTGAGCTGAAACGGTGGAACAAACGTAAGATCTGAAGCTTTCCTGACGGTGTGGCGAGGAGAAGAAGAGCTCCGGCTGAGCGTTTCTCTGTCAGTGACATTTATTGAAGGCAGCCTGCAGCTCTGACACTGTTAAGGCGACTGTGCGCGGAGATGTCGGCGGTTTCGTGAAATGTCAGGAGAGCAGAGTCCTCCTTCTTCTTCTGCACTTTCGTCCTCTCAGACTTTAACCTTTAGGACGAGCTCGGGGCCAAACCTCTAATAACGCTGTTTCTGAAAGGTTAAAGCCATTGCCGATAAAACGGATAAATTATACTTTTTAAGGCTGCTGCAGTTCAGGAAGCTGATGACTCTGAGTTAATTGTGCCCTTTGTTTTGTCTGCTCAGGTGGAATCTGTATCGCTCAGTCCCTGAAGATCCCTCACGACCACAAACCCTCCGACTCCGATAAAATCATCCGCCAGCTGCTGGACACTCGGTACGCCAGGGCGGTCATCCTGTTCGCCTCCGATGAAGACATCAGGTAATAACCCTGCTGAGGTAACGTGCAAAAGTTAAATACGTGACCTGAATCGTCGTCTTCAGCTCAGGATGAGAGAAAACGTCAGGACTGTGTTAGTGCCAGCAAACACAATGCTACGTTTTTCCTTTGCTATATTTAATGTATTCAGATGGATTTTTATTGGATGCTCAGCACATCAGGACTCTTCCAGCCGTACCCTCCATCCACTGAGAGGAAGTAAAAATGTTTGGGATAATGAGCACGACCCTGAGGGAGGAGCTCCTGCAGCTGACCCGGGACACGCTGGAGAGGTTACATCTCTCGGCTGGTTTGGGAACGCCTCGGTGTTCCTCGATGAGCTGGCGGGAGATTAGACTGCCGCCCCGTGACGTGAGCCGTGTTCATGAGTACCCACCATAAAATACTGAGGTTAAGATCAGGCTGAGGAAAACTCGACATCAGTCAGACACTCTGGTGTCTGCAGACTTCTGTTCCCCTGCGTTTCCACAGTCTTCTTCACTCACTCTCCACCTCTGACTCAGCGTCTCCGTTGATCAGTTGCTCAGATGGAGCTCGTAGTCTTCAGCATCTTTAGGAAAGCCTGAACTAATCAGATAAGGTCCTGTAGGTGCAGCAGGTTGGTGGGTAACGACAGGTTAGGCTCTTTAGTGACCCTGTTGCTCCAGGACAGGTAAACTGATGTGGAAGCTAAAGTGTGGGTGGGGTCTGTGACTGCTTTCTCACGCAGGGGCATCCTGAACGCCAGTAAGCGAGCGGACCAAGTGGGTCATTTCCTGTGGATCGGCTCCGACAGCTGGGGCGCCAAAAACAGTCCCATCCAGCACCTGGAGGACGCCGCGGTGGGAGCCATCACTATCCTGCCGAAGAGGGCCACCATCAGCGGTAAGTCCGTCGCCGCTTATGGTTTCACGTTGCTCGTCTTTATGAGAATATGTGAGTGTAAAGTTCATCAGCTCGCTGCTACATGAAGGAAAGGAGAACTTGGTTTTCTGTCCTCGCCGCTCGCTCTTTTTCCTCCACGTCTGCCTGAATAAGCAGAACTTCAGAAAACTCAATCGCGTCGGGAACGCTCGCAGTCTCACTGGGTTTGCAGTGACACCAGATCGCTCAGGACTCTTTTGATGATTATTATTTTGTCGTCATTATTCTGCTTCTATCAGCACGGAGAGCTTTACTAAAGACCTCTGCTGCTCTTACTTCCTGTCAGACGAATAAAGTTTCACTGCGGCCTGAAAGTCGTGAAAACGTTCTCTGTAATGATTTTAAAGACATGACGACAAACGTGTTGATGCAGAGCTGCAGTCCAAAGACGTTCATGCTTTTGAATTTATAGAAAGTTTCAAATGTGTTGTGTTGGCATAAAAATGATTTCACTTCCTGTATTTCCTCTGATGTCACAGTGATGATCTTTTTTAAGCCCAATAAAGTCGCCGTCTGCAGGAGTCGGCTGAGGCTGGCTGTAGTTACTCTGTCGCAGTTTGAATTGTTTTATTCTGTCAGTTTGAGACGCTAATAAAAAGTCTCAGGTTTGATGTACACGGACACGCCGCTCACAGTTAACCTTAAACAGCTTATCCAAGGACACGTTTGCTTTTCCTCTCCAGTTTGATTAATTAAAGCTGAATGAAACCTTTAAGCAGACGGTTTGTTTGAGATATAATTAGTGTCACTGAGTCAAAACTAAAACATGTTTGTGTTTCTGTGACTCGCAGGTCACAAAGCGAACTTATTTTGAAAATCCCGACCTCTTCCTTTGTGTCAGAGTGTTTTTCTGAACTCTCTTCAGAGGTGTGACACGCAGAGAAGCGCCGCCATCGTAACGATGCTGAAACCGCAGATCAGAGGAAACGTAACGAGACCGCGGCCGACCTCCTCATCGGCGCTGATGACAGCGTTTAGATTACAGCGCGCGTCGTAACTACAGACGGCGGCGAGCGCGGCTGTCGTGTCAAACACAGATGGTGACGGGGATATACGGCGGCGGGTTGTTGTGCCACTTCAACGCTCTGACTTCAAATAAAGCCTGAGCTCTTTGTTCTTTTGTTCTCGCTGCACTAATACTTCTGTCAGGAGGCGAACGGAAGCAGCGTTCCTGCTCGCGTAACGTCGCTCTGACCTTTTTTCTGCTGCCAAACACGAGCCGGGCAGACTCGGGCTGTCACCTCGGATCTGACGGGAGGTGCTGCGCTCATAAATTCTGCGCTCTGATGACTGATTTATGGAAATGGGGGTTTTCTGAGCATAAAGGCACTCGCAGAGAGCACTGCAGCGTAACGAGGGGCGGGGTGAGTCAGGTTTAAGGGCATCAGACCCATTACACCAGAGGGCACGCCGCGAGGAGCAGGAAGAGATGGGGTGATGGGGAGAAATTTAGCTTTATGATGAGAGTCACAGCCAGATTAACCTTCTGCACAAACCTCATCAGCGGCTGCCTGTGAAGTGTGCTCTGAGAGCAGCGTTTACATCACCCGCTGAGCCTGTGTGTTTGGGCTGAGCTCTGAGGATGACTCAGCCTCACCAACAATACTCAAACTCCGGAGATTATGACTCTCAAAGTCCTTCTACAGGTCTCAGAGCTGGCTTCATTGTTATACTGCGACATTAACTCCAAACGGAGGCATGCAGGCCAGCGTGCATGGATGGACGGTGACGTGTTCACCCTCTCCGGGTTATCCGGGGCTCCGTCAGAATCGGTGCTTTTGTGAGGGCTCGCGCTGGCAGACAGTAAGTCGGGCACTAAGGTCCCGGCAGGGCGTTGAGGTGCAGAGCTCTCGGAGCAGCCAGGCGGCAGAGGGCGCACGCTTCACTGACCTCTTGTCTTTGTTTTTTGCGGATGATTCAATCCTGGTTTCATCGAGCGCTGACCTCCAACTCGTGGCTGGCTCGCAGCTGAGTGGGAATCGGCTGAGGCGGCGGCGGCTCTCGGCTGGAAAAGGCTGGTTTCTGGGTCACCGATGAGTTTCTGCCTCAAGTGGAAGAGTCCACGTGTCTGAGGGTCGGGAACAGATGGGGTCATCTGATCCCACCTGCACACTGGTGAGCGTCGACTTACTGATCGGCACGCCTGCCCTCACCTGCGGCCCGTGAATAACGCCTCAGTGTGAGGAGCGCCGTCACTCAGGGGGAGTTTAGAGTAGATGCTGCTCCTCTGCATTGAAGGAGACGGCTGCAGGGAGATGCAGGAGGTGCTGAGGAGAGGGAGGTCTGGGCGTCTCATTTGGACGTGTTGAGTCTGCTTCAGGTCCAGCTGCACAGACGTGTAGATCATGGCGTCGCTGCCCGTCTGTCCTCGGCTCATCCAGGTGGAACAAACACGGTTTCCTGCCGTCTGTGAGCGACTGAAACATTTAAGTAGCGGCGTGCTTGTTCCTGTTTCTGCGCTCTGATAGGTTACGTCTGATTTTAACGCAGGCCTCTGTCCGACTTATAGACTTGTCCAGACAAATGTGTGCAGTGACAGGAGCCGTCCTCATTTATGCAGACATCGCTTTGCTGCGCACGCTCTCCCTCTGCGGCCTTCCCTGTCACACCGGCTGATATCGCATACATGTTAAAGACACTGAGGCTGATTATGAATAAATCAAGACCTCATTTCAAATCTGCAGCCAAGTCTGTGTTTCGGATCCCGGACGGAGGAGGTCAGCTTGGCTTTGATTTATTGTCTTTTCAGGTCTGAGAAAATAAATCCAGCTATTTTCATGTGAAACGTGGCGCTGCGAGCCTGAACGCAGCCCTGCTTACTGTGCGCGATAATTGCTGAGACTGAACCCAAGAGAGGAAGCGAGACAGAGGGGGGGTGTGGAGAAGAAAAGGTTTTAGTGAAAACACGTCGGGAACAAAGGCGAAGCAGAAGAGAAAGTTGAAGATGGGGTAGAATTAAGCTGCAGGCTGTGAAGTTTCCCCGTGACAGAAGATGCCTGCTGAGTCTGCAGTCTCCAGCCGGGATGGATCCACTTCCCAAACTCAGTTACAGCTTCTAATCCACAAATCTGAGCCTTTTAATGTCACACTGGAAAACTGGCCAAGCCGCCGAGTCTGCAAAAACCTGCAGGTGACGCATTCAGTGTTTCCCACCTGAACAGGTAAAGTTCAGTTCTTATTGCTGTGAACTGACAATTGGGCCTGTTTGCCACCAGACCGTCACTTGGATGTCTGGATCTCAGCAGGGAGGCGGAGTCACGGACAGGAAACGGAGGCTTCAGGGAGTCACTGAACCGAGGAGGCATGAAGCAGCTCTGTGCAGTCCAGGAGACAGAGGTCTAACTGCAAGAGAGGAAATGAAGCAGCGAGGAGCCTCCCTCCAACTCCTCCACCTCCTCCACCCTCCCACTGCTCTCCAGCTCCAGCCTCTTTGTTTGAAGAGCTGCCGGCTCCAGCGTGCCCATGTGTGCACCAGAGATGGGAGGATGCGGATTTTAATCTGACTCCATGTTTAAAACATGATCAGCATCCGCCAAGACGGATGTCCTCCCTCACACCGCCAAACGCAGGAAATAACTGCGAGCGCAGCGTCACACAAATGGCGCTTTTGTTGTGATTTGGCGCTATATAAATAAAATTGAATTGAAAACAGAGGCAGGTGTAATATTTGATCAATCGATACTGCAAAGATGAAGTAACTAACACAGAACACGAAGTAAAAGAGCTGTGACGATGCACTTTACAACAGATTTTAGTCTCCGAGGGTCATCATGGTTTTTAGTGTTTAGAGACGGCGATCTTATTTTAGAGATACCTGGGACGCCTCATTATTAGAGGTCCTAATCAGACGCCTGAAACACCTTCACAGCCTCCCTTTGATGTGGAGGAGCAGCAGCTCTTCTCTGAGCACCTCTCGCCCTCTCTAAAGGAGAGGCCAGCCTCCCTCAGAAGCAAACTCACTCTTCTATCCAAGATCTCGTTTTCTGGGAAGATATCAAACATCCAGAAAAATCAAGTCAAGCCAGTGGTACAGTACACAGTGAAGCGAGCCCGCGGTGCTATGACAGACAATAACACAGGACGTGTGCAAGTGTGCAAAAGCTGCAAAAAAACAAAGACGGTGCAGCAGAAACGTGCAACAACTGAGAACCCGACCACAGCATCACCAGCACTGACAAGAGCTCCTCTGTTCCTACAGAAATAACTCATGTGCATGCTAAAAGTTATTATATCCATATTAGGTGATCCTGACTGCACTGCACGCTGTTGAGATTAAGCAGGAACTATAATGTGAGTGGGTTGAGCCCAGGACAGCACAGCCTGACTCTGCAGGGACTGGTCCCACTGCAGGCCGAGTCTGTGGCTGCGCTGCCTCCGTGTCTGTTTCCTGGACTCCTCAGTCAGCGGGATGCTCTGTGGCAGCCCGTCACAGCCCATTCCTGCGGCTTTGCTCGCAGACGAAACACTAATCTGACAAACGGCAAAGAGATAGGAGGAGGAGACGTTTAGCCGCTGACACTGATCAGGCTAAGCATCCTTTCTCCTGCTTCACACCAACGTTCGTCTCCAGTCTCTCCACCCACCACACCACCCGCCTGCTGCATTTAGAGAAAATATCCACCTTTTGAATGAACGTTATTATCTGTGTTGCACATGGATATGCATGTGCTAAGACATGCATTATTGCAAATGCTCGTCTGGATGCTGCTCATCATGATTTCGTCCCACCAACACTGAAATGAAAGTCAGTTCAGCTGCTACTTTGTTTTACTGGATCTGATGGGAAACACTGGAGCAGCGGTCAGCAGCTTCCCACCGAGGATGTGGAAACCAGGCCGTGTCTCGCAGTCAGGCTGTAATTGTCCCAACCCACAAATCCACCTGCTTCATGGAGGATTTGGTGGATGGAGCCTCTTGTTGTTGAAAGCAGCTCCACTGACGCCTGCAGTCAGTCTGGTTGT